TGATTTTTAAAAACACCAGTTGGTCCGTTATCATTAAGGGTACCATTGTCATAAATTTTACTACTTAGTGCAGAGGAAAATGGATTGGTTTCCGTGGGACGAGACCGACAGGGGCAAATTCACAGGACACATGATGTTTTGTATACTGAGTCAGACTGCTGGTCCCCTTTGCCCAACATTCTGTCCTCTGACTGGTAACTGCTCTTCACAGTCTCCCAGCCCATCTAGGATCCTTTAACTGAGAGATGCCTGGGACCTTCTGCAGGAAAAACAGGTGCTTTGCCACTGAACTGGCCAAAAAAGGGAACCCTAAAATACACAGAGGTGTTTGCGTGGCTAGAATCATGCAACTTCCTTTTTCTTCTGGTCTTTAATTTTCACACTTAGTCCTCCAACCGATGAGGGCTAGAAACTTATACTTTTATAAAAAGAAGGAAGCAAGCTGAAATTCTCAAGCTTGGTGGATTTATATAACCCTTCTGGCACCTTCCAAGGCTACATTTTAAAAGAGAGATGTGATAGGGAACAGGGAAATGGAGCTTTCCTTGAATTGTTCCATTGGCTATCCCAAAATAGCCGGTACCCTCTGGCCACTGCTCACAGGCCAGCTGGCCACCGTTTTGCTGTTCTTGGGGGAAGGCAGAAGGCAAAAGCTCCCAAGCAGCTGCTGGTCTTCTGGCCAGAGCCTGTGCCCTGGCTGTACTTTCCTTTGCTAACAAAGTCCAGGATGAATGCTTTAAAAAGCCCATGAATCAGAAAAAAGGCACATGGAAGGGGGGGGGGCAGCTACAGCCCCTCCTCCAGCAGAATTAAAGCTCCCACACTGATAGCTTTCCCCTCTATTTCAGGATGAAACATTATCACCTGTTCAGTGTGGACACAATGGGTTCAAGGAAGCCCTTTCTAGGAATGCAGTCTATACCTGGAGAGGGCAATCTGGCTGAAGGGGTGAATGTAACATGTTGCTCCTGCTTCTCAGCAAGATGTCAGGTGGCAAGTGAGGGCTATTTCAGTAAAAGCTGCAGGTATGTAATGAAGTCTCTTTGGGCCTGTAACAGCCACTACTGGCTGCTGTAGCTGGAGAATCCCCACCCAGCTCTTGACTTGCTCTGTGCTTCCTCACCTAATGAATTTCACAGCAGTGCCTCATACTCCTTTGTCAATGAAAACAAAGAAAAGGCTGCAGGGTATTTTTAATTCCTTGTTTTCTCTGGTGGGGACTCCCCTCCCCCAACAGCAGGCAAGGGTATAGAGCACAAGCTGTAGCCTACAAGAAATCACTGTGTCCAGGGGGAATTAATTTGGAATTGTTCTCAGTCTCTTCCAGCCCCAACCTCTCCCCTCTCCAGGATTCTCAAAGTTCTTTTTTTTTTTTTAAGCCCCCGGAGGGGATTTTTTATTCTATTTTCTATAAACTACAATGAAAAAAAGGGAAAGGAAAACTACATCTATGGGAGAAGGGAAAGAAAACCAAACTAAAAACCCAAGAATAGGAGATCATTACAATAGTTTATATCAGTGTTATACTAAAATGCTGTGATTACATTGAACATAGTTGATCAAGCTATATTGGCCCTGTCCACACGAGGGGTTTTGGGCCGGGAGTGGGCCGGATCGGGGCCGGAGCAAACGGGCGCGATCCCACTGCAACATCTGGGCAGCGTTGCGCACCCCCGGCTCCTGCCTGAACTGCGCATGCTCAGACATGCGCAGTTCGGCAGTCTCCCGTTCCCCTCTGTCGCTTCCCCCGGCATCTGATCATGCCGGGGAGGGAATGCGCCGCGGCTCAGGGGATCAATGTGATCCCGCCGTGGCGTGTTTCTTTTGGTGCGGCTTTCAGAAGCCACGCTTCAGCCCGTCCCTTTCCGCCTCGTGTGGCATGGGCCACTATTTATCTTTAAAACCATTATTTTCACTATTTAAAGAAAATCACAAGAGCATCATTAAAAACCTTAAGGCACAATTCAGAGTCCTTCAGCCTTCATTTTGTTTTATCTTTTCTAATCCTTAATTGGTATTCTCGCTTAGGGGCTGCTGCCGCCTTTTCAGAGACAGAGTCCTCATCAGAAGTAGCAGAGTCCATTTCATCACTAGGTTTGCTATCTTCTTCTTACTTGCTGTCCTCACTGGACTCTCCCAGTTGCAGTCTCAGGAACTCACAAGCTTAAGAAACAGAGTCAATTTTGTCTTATTTATCCTGCAGTTTGAAAATGACACCTCCGGGGATTAACCATCTGTAAGGAATGCTGTTTGTTTGTAAAAATAGGATCAAGTCTTTATACTTCCTCTTCTTCATTATTTCAAATGGAATATCTTTTAAGATCCTGATTATATTGCCTCCAATTTTCAAGGGCGTTCCTGTAGTTGCTTTCAGGATTTGGTCCCTCACATGTCCCTTCGAGAATCTAACCACTATCTCCCCAGGCAGATTATTTTTCTTTATGTAAATGGAATAGGTTCTATAAACCATATCCATTTCGCTTACAAGGTATTTCGCTTTTAAATCTGTGACTGGGGCTAATGCGTCACTCAGCAGTTGCTTTAGATTCTCTTCTTTTGCTTCAGGGACCCCTTGGAACCCAGAGGACTAGGTTAGCTTTTTCCATTTGCAGCAGCAAAAGTTGATATTCATCTGAAGCTTGCTTCTTTCCCAGCATTTGAACCTTTTTCTTAACCTTTGTGGAGTTGGCATCCATTTCCTTCACTTTCTCAGCTGTTTGCTCCGTCTTTTTTGTAGTCTCAGTCAATTGGAGCTGCTGAGCTGCAAAGTTCTGGTTTAAAGCTATCAGTTGTTGATTGATGTTCGTCATCTGGTCCAGTAGAGGGCACAAAGAGTCCGCTAGCAGTTTAGAAAACTCAGTGGTATCTTCTGGCCGCGGGCTCATGCTCCCAGGTGCTTTCACTTTTGCTTGTCTGTCTTTCTCTGTTTTTTTTTCCACACCATATTTGTGGATTGTTTACTTTTTAAAAAACTTGCTGAAGTCTCTGAAATTCACCTAAATGCTTATAGGCGCTCTGATTGATTTCTTAAAATAGATTTCAATGCTTTTTCTTCAGCTTCCCCTTGGTATATCGCTATTTTCTTTATGCGTATGGGAGGGCCCCCTCCCCCCTCCCCCGCTCGCTTGTCTCATTGTTACCAGGGGGGCTTTCTTTTACATTCACGACATTTCGATTTAACTCGACTCAATGTTCACTGATGGTCCAAAGACCTCGCTCAAGGTATGTTTTATACGTCCGATCTCCAACGCTTGTCCCAGTCAGCGGCTCTGGTTCCATTGCGGATGCAGCAGTGGCAGGACCGTCGGGGTGGAAGAGCACCTCAATTCTCCAGCAACGTGCTGGCAAAGAGGCTACCCTTCAAAGCCTCATGGCTAGGAGCCTTTCACAAAGGCTCCAAGGGTAAGTGTCCCAAGGGGGGGTGCACCAGGGGCCCCCCTCCAAACTACTGGCACGCGGATCGCATCCCCGGGAGGTCCGGGAGAAATGTCCACTACCGCCATAAACCGAAAGTCCCAAGATTCTCAAAGTTCTGAGAACTTTAAAGAGGCTAATATCCCTTACATACCCCCCCATAACTGACTCTCAATCATTCTCAGCATTCTTTGCCTCCTGGAGCATATTCAGTCCTCATCAGGCTCTTTTTAGATTTGTTGTTGTTGTTCAGTCGCACAGTCGAGTCCGACTCTTCGCGACCCCATGGACCAGCTCCCCCCAGGCCCTCCTGTCTTCCGCCGTCCTCTGAAGTTGGCTCAACTTCATGTTCGTTGCATCTACGACACTGTCTAACCATCTCATCCTTTGCCGTCCCCGTCTTCTTTGACCTTCAATCTTTCCCAGCATCAGGGTCTTCTCCAGTGATTGCTCCCTTCTCATTTGGTGGCCAAAGTATTTGAGCTTCAGTTTCATTATCTGGCCTTCCAGGGAACAGTCAGGGTTGATTTCTTTTAGGATTGACTGATTTGTTCTTCTTGCAGTCCAAGGGACTCTCAAGAGTCTTCTCCAGCACCATAGTTCAAAAGAATCTATTCTTTGGCGCTCAGCCTTCCTTATAGTCCAACTCTCGCAGCCATACAGTACTACTGGGATTTAGATTGGGAGGAAGCTAATTTACAAAGCCATGTTTTTCTGCATACTTGAGGACTTCCCAAAGTATGCGGAACCCTCTGATTTATTATTAGTAGGAATGTTGTGGGCATCACTGGGCAGGGGGAAAGAGTGGAGAAATATAGGACTGGAACACACTGCTAATTCAATTTTTTTTTAATGTATGCCTGAATCGCCTCCCGAGTTTGTAGAAACACATACCTTGTCTGAAATTACTGCATTCATCACCATAATGGGGGCCAGTCACTCTACTATTAAAAGGAGGGGCGAGATTCCTATAAAGAAGAGCTACACAAGAGATGGGGGCATGGAAGGGGCTGTGGCATAGCGGAAGAGCATTTATTTTACACATAGAAGGTCCCAAGTTTGATCCCTGGCATTTTCAGTTGAACATAGCAAGTGATGAAGAAAACCTCTATCTGAGACCCAGCAGAACCACTGCCAGTCTCAGTGGGCAAACCTAACCTTGGCAGACCATTTTTTGATTCAGTATACAAGGCAACTTCATGTGAAACAATTTCCACCTGTGAAAAAAACGTTAAAGGCTATAATTCAAAAGAGATGGCTGAGCAAAAGGTCATGTTTGAAGTGCATACATTCAAGGGTTTGAACTAGTAAATGCTTTGGTTCCATTCCAGTTTGGGATCAGATGCAGCTAAAACTGATCCAGTTCAGTTTCAGCAGAGCCTGACTGTGCTAAAGTAATCCTATGAATATAAGATTGTTGGGGATACACTGCAGGGCTGAAGGCCTTCCTGCTTTGCTCATGAGTTCACTGGAGGCACCTGATGGGAAACAGGACACTGGACTACATGGTCTGATCTGGTGGAGCTATCCTTACATTCTGAGTGCTGCATTTGTTAAAGAGAACAGAGTAATGATATGTGCCTTGCCTGCCCAGATTTATGACTCCCCGTGGGATACCCGTCGGCGTGTTAAAAGCTGGCAAAAGCTTCTCTCCCAGTTCTAGAGCTTTATTCTTGAAGACCTGTGTGGAGAAAGAGAGGAAGGATGGAGTGAGAAAGCTATTAAGAAAAGAGCTGTTTGGCAATGTACACTACATTGGATTTCTAAATATAAATCCCCAGAGCTACAGCCCCTAAGAGGGACTTTACAGTGAATCACTTCTTAATACATGTATTTTTTTTTAAAAAAAAATTGGAGCAGGTGAACACCAGACCTGTTCCACTAGCACAGGTGCTTCTCCCCAGCGGAGGGAGCCCTTCCCATGAGGCAGGTTGCTCAGAAGAGTGTCTTGCATGAGGGAAAGTCTCCTTGTGCCAGAGGAAAGGGCCTTTGCTAGTGGAACAGATCCACGGGATTTTTGTATATTTTGGTAATACTAACAAACCATTTTGAACACCAAAAAAAAGGGTAGAAAAAGACTTTAATCTCTTTCTAGAGCAGCTTGGGGATCCTCCCTGGCCCTGCCTGGCTGAGATTTAAATAGCTCTGTCTAGACCTCACAGCTCTGCCCCTCTCTTGTGATTGGCTTCCCAGGGGCCACCCGCTATTACCCTGGCAACCAGCTGTCACTCTAGGCTTCCAGACTGTTGCCCTGACAACAGCAGCCACCTTCCTGCTATGGCCTGGTATGTCTTCACTGCTGGCACCACTCAACTTCCTGAACGGGGATCCCTCAAGGGGGTTAGTCCTGCCCCTGCAACCTGTCTCCTTAGTTTCAGCTCTATGTGAGGCCAGCATCCCTGACAAATAAATAAATAGGTCATAAATATCACTTTCCAACATAACTGCAATTTGGCACATGGGGTTTTTCTCATTTGTGTTTACCAAGTGTAAAAATCCATGCTCAGAATAGGGAATGAGTCCAATTTGTGGTTGTCACCATTAGATCTGGTACAAAACCATAAATTCAAAGTGGAAAATAATGCAGAAGGAGATGAAGGGTGCAGTTCTCAAAACAGGAAGTACTGTGCTGGAATTCTATGACCAGAGATCATGTCCAAGACCGTTTGACAAAAGGTATCATTGTTCATGGTGTACCCTGTCTTCCCAGTATGGTAAATTTACAAGGCCCATCGGGATTAAAGAAACAAGCATAAACCCCAGGGGAAGCAATTCTCCTAGCATATCACCAGCCCAGGAAGCCAAGGGTTACCATTTAAATCAAATTAATTTAATTATTTAATTGAATAGATGAATGAATTAATTAACTGTTTGTGGATTTGATTACTAAATTGAAATTGATTATAGAAGAAACTACTGCCAATGCTGATTGCTCATGAATTGACTTTGTATTTGATAAATTTGGTAGATTGTGATTTGTCACCGGCCTTTATTTAATTTACTGGCCAGGTGAATTGGATAATGTTTAGCAATCAAATTGTTAGATTAGGCGAAATATTTGGTTGGGCCTATAATTAGGAGATAGAGTGAGGAACAATATGGGGTTTATTGTTAGGATAGATTAGGATTTAGTCAGGGATTAGCAGCCTCGGGAGAATTGTTAACTGCTACTAGTAGCATTCATACTGGGCATTTCATCTGTCAGTTAGTTTATTATTGGGTCTGAGGCTCTGCGAAGACCACTCATAGTGGCGATCACTGGGCAAGGGATACCAGTACTCCTGGGGAGGGGAAAGTATAGTGGTGGGACCAGGCATGAATGTAAGGGAAGGGGATAGAGAAGTAGAGTAACGTGGCCCCCTTCCAGCCTGCATATCATTTTGAAGGTGGGAGGTAGTGGAGCTAGGATGAATGACCCCCCTTCAACATTGGTGCTGTGCAACGCCAGGTCTATAAATAATAAGTCCTTTGGGACTTCCTGCTGGAGCAGAGTGCGGACCTGGCGTGCATTACCAAGACCTGGGTTCAAGTACTGGGGAGACAGTAGCTCTCTCTGAGTTGGCTCTTCCCGGGTTCTTGGTCCTTCATCAATTGCAGACTAGGAGGCAGGGGGGAGGAGTGGCACTGTTCATTTGGGAGGCTTACTCCTTCAGGGTGCTCTCACCACCGAAGCTCACAGGCATAGAGTGCACTGGCCTAGTGTGGGAAGCCAGGGAGAGTTTGGCTATTTGGTTAGTGTACCATCTGCCCAACACACCGACCAATAGTCTATCATTCCTGGTGGAGGCTGTGTTGGGCTTGGCATTGGAGCATCTTAGACTGATAGTCCTGAGGGACTTCAGTGTCCATGCCGACGATCTGGCCTCCACAGAGGCAATGGACCTGGTGGCGTTCATGGCAGCACTAGGACTCTCCCAACATGTTAACAGCCTCCACTCATCAGACTGGGCACACGCTTGATTTGATCTTTGTGGCGGGGGTGACAGTGGAACAGATTACTGCTACGGCAGTGCCATGGTCGGACCAACATGCCCTGAAGGCCTGCGTGAATGTCTCACCCCGACCCTGTTTGGGTGGCGAGTGAATTTTAACTTGCCTGCAGAGCCAAATGAACCCTATGGGGCTTCAGATGGCCCTGCAGAATCCGATGCCCCCAGGCAGCTCATTGGATGAGCTTGTAGAGGATTGGCATAGCTGACTTTCGGCAGCCATTGACGAGATCGCTTCCCGATGCCCTTTTGTCAGTAAACTGCCATTTGTATTCTGTGTCTGCTCTGTGTAACCTGCCTGCTGTATGATGGGGGGGAATTAGCTCTGTTGCTCTGTTCTCATCTTCCCTGTGCGCTTTATCTCTTGTTTTGACCTTGGAATGCTTTTGCTGCCTTTGTAGTAAGTAAGACTATGAGGACCATTGTCATTCCTGACAATGACCATGAAAGTGTATCAATAGTGACTTGTATTAAAGCAACCTATTCTTATGAATCGTTGTGGACTGCAAGTGCTCTATTGAACCTGACACCTTTGCTTTCTCGCTCTAGGCTGGTTCCTTGGTTTACCCAGAAGCTCTGGCTGATGAAGCAAAGGCTTAGACAGGTAGAGAGAAAGTGGCGGTGCGCCTGGTATGAAGCTACACGAGCATCCTATTGGACGTTTATGAGATCTTATGAGATGGCAGTCAAAGCCACCAAGAGAGAGTACTACGCGGCTACAATTGCGTTTGCGAGCTCATGCTCGGCCCGATTATTTAGAATGATTCGGTCTATGACTACTCTGCCACAAGACAAACCAAATGCTAAGTTATTGGACATTGGCTGTGAGGCCTTTGTGAGCTATTTCACAGATAAAATCTTGTCTCTCCGCCATGACCTCCCTGCCACAGTTGAGACAGTGAATGAACTCGAGGCTCCATGCCCGTCTTCTAGTCAGGTTTTGGATTATTTTAGTCCACTCAGCCTAGAGGAAGTCGACAAATTACTCTCAACTGTACGCCCCACCACTTGTAGCCTTGATCGTTGCCCATCATGGCTAATTAAAGCTGGTCGTGATGGGTTATGAGGTGCCCTAAGGGAAATCATCAGCAAGTCCCTCTCTGAGGGACTGTTCTCTGGGGCACTCAAGGAAGCAGTGGTATGCCCTCTCCTAAAAAAACCATCCTTGGATTTGGACGAATTGGCTAACTATTGGCCAGTTTCCAATTTGCCCTACTTGGGCAAATTAATTGAGAGGGTGGTGGCAACTCAGTTGCAGGGTTTTATGGATGACACTTCCACATTAGATCCCTTCCAATCCAGCTTTTGCCCAGGCCATGGGAAAGAGATGGCACTGGTCGCCCTCAAAGATGACCTTCGGAGGCATCAGGATCGGAGTGTTCAGCAGTGTTGCTGTTATTAGACCTGTCGGCAGCGTTCATTACTGACAGCCTGTGCTTCGCCAACATGAACCGGACTGAGAGTCAGTCCACTCCTAACATCAAATGCTGACTGTACTCCTTATTATGATTGATTACGCCACTGTCATACAAATTGCCTACTAGCACTTTATGATGGGTTTTGTATTTATATTTGTTCTGTTTTAAATTTTTATGTAAGCCACCCTGAGCCTGCTTCGGTGGGGAGGGCAGAGTATATATCAAATAAATAAATAAAACTAAGTTAACCAAACTTGGGAATGCTCTCAGATGTCCTTACATTAGTAGTAAAACAATATCAGACAAGTGTGTAAAAGAAGGATAGGTCGATCAGTGGCTTTTTGCTAAACAGAACCTCCAGGTGCAGAGGCAGTATTTATTTATTTATTTATTAGACTTTTACCCCGCCCTCCCGCCGAAGCGGCTCAGTATGAAGAAGAAAAAGAGCTGATTTTTATACCCTGTTCTTCACTACCCCAAGGAGTCTCAGAGCAGCTTACAATTGCCTTCCCTTTCTCTCCCCGCAACAGACACCCTGTGAAGTAGGTGGGGCTGAGAGAGTTCTGAGAGAACCGTGACTGGCCCAAGGTCACCCAGCTGGCTTCATGTGGAGGAGTGGAGAATCAAACCCTGTTCTCCAGATTAGAGTTTGCTGCTCTTAACCACTACACCAAACTGGTTCAGTGCCAATAGATGGGGAGCTGGGGAGGGCTAATGCCTGTCAGCCTTTGTAGTATAGATGGGAATACATATTGAATGTTTTAATTTACATTATTCATATACTTATATTTTTCTGGTTTATTAAGATTTTATTAGGATTTAATAAAAGCCTATTAAGTGAAGTGGTAAGGCCTCTCCTTTGTAGGTTAGAGTGTCTTTTTAGCTGATGCTAGCAGAACCTAGCAGTTCGAAAGGAAGAAATTGCAACTAGATAAAATAGGTACCACTTCGGTGGGAAGGTAACAGCATTCCGTGTGCCTTGGTATCTAGTCATGCCAGCCACATGACCACGGAAACGTCTTCGGACAGCGCTGGCTCTTCGGCTTGGAAACGGAGATGAGCACCGCACCCCTAGAGTCGGATTCGACTGGCTTTCGAGCAAGGGAAACATTTACTTTACCTTTACCTAGCAGACAAGAAACAACCTCCCCCCCCCTTTCAAGTTGTTTGGATGAAATAGCTATCTGTTCGGTGTTTTTAACAGGCCTTCGGTGCAGTATTGCTGGTACAGCAGAAGATAGGTTTTTCAATAGATGTATCTGCTTGAAGTATAG